TAAATTAAAGATCAACACAAAATAAAGATATAAATAACGATGACCTAAATAAATAGATTCAAAATATGTGGATCCAAAAATTTAAAATTTGTATCTGCTTATTTGTAAGGTAAAAAAAAGTTTCACACACAAATAATGTTAGTTTACGGGAAGGGTTAGTTAGACCAAAAAAAACTACTACTACAATTATCTGTGTATTTAAATACCTTAAACCTATCGTTATTTTATTAGTACTACTACTAATTAACTAAGTACTAGTAGTTCTTTTGTCCCGATCTAAACCTTTTTTTTCCCTTTGGAGAAATTATAAGCTGAATTGTTTTGGGAGAATTCTTTTTGTATATATATGGTGAGTAAAGTAAATAAATTCTTTAAAAAATGAAATAATTCTTTGATTGGAAATGAGGAAATACATCCATATCCATATATCTACATACACTTTTGTGTATATTATACTATAGTAGAAAAAAACAGATATATCTTCATTGACATATATAATTTTCTTGGAATTTATAAGATTGCATTAAAAGACATTTTTGTCATTTAAGTATTAAATTATTAAAAAGATATTTCAATAATCTATATATTTAAAAAAAATTAAAATTCATAATAATAAATAACTTAAAAAACGCATATTTTTAAAAGTTTATAAGTTGTAAAATCATAAATTATGGGTGACACTTACAATGTTTGATTGATCTCGACTTGTAAGTTATATACTTTTTCTGTCTTTTAATGTCATCAAACACGTAGCTAAGTCAAAATATATTTACAAACTAGTTTAACCGGCTCATAAGTTAAAACAATAACGTATTTATTGATTTTATGTAAACGATACGAAGAATTGAGTTATATTTTTTGGATTTTTATGCCGTTGACTTGAAGCGGGGCTTGACGTTAAAGTCGTTACATTAGGCTGCCTTAGATCATTTGGAAGTTGGGAATAACCCTCTCTTGCCACGCTATTTCTTTCTTCATTCCTCGAAACTTCTCTAATTACCAATTTAACACTTAATATTACAAATATTTATAACCTATGCTTTTATTCCTTTTTATTATAAACCACTTATTACATTAATTTAGATACTCTTCCCCTATATATATAAGCATACATATACTTTCCCATCCCACATCTACTGAAAATTTCTTGAGCTTATCACACTTTACTCCTCAATACAGAAATGGCAGCAGCTAAACGGGTTTTAGATAACTCTAATCCGGATACGAACCAACCGAATTACAAACGCATGAGATCTACTACACCTTCTTTTGCTTCGTACGTCTCCGTTTTTTCAAATATCAATTAATTCATGTCGATGTACCTATTTAATTTCACGATTACCTGACTTATAGTAAATCCTTTTTATTTTTTATAGTGTTATTAAGGAAGCAATGAAGGCGAATTTCCTAGAGAACTTGTCTTCTGCTTTGGAACCGATGCTCCGTCGAGTGGTAAGGGCTTAAAATTTCACGTATAATTACTAAACTTTATGTTTCGTGTTGACGATAAGTTTATGAAATTAATTTTGTCACGTGAACTTAATTTTGCAGATTCCTGAGGAAGTGGAGAATGGACTAAGGCGTTATTCATGTCGTTCATTAGCGAGATCTCCTTCACTAAGAATCAAAGCACTAGAACCATCGAATCTTCGTCTCATTTTCAACAAAAAGCTCTCGCAACCAATATTCACCGGAAGCAAAGTCGTCGCCGGCGGCGACGACGGCCAGAGTCTTCAAATTCTTCTGGTGGATACAAGCGGCGAAGGCATGGTTCCAACGACTTTACCTTACCCTATCAAAGTAGAACTCGTCGTACTTAACGGAGATTTCCCGTCCGGAGATACTGAAACTAATTGGTCTCGCGAAGAATTCGACAAACACGTCGTTAAGGAGAGAACCGGAAAGAGGCCATTGCTTACCGGCGAACTGAATTTCACGATGCGAGACGGCGTCGTCTCTGTTGGGGAAATCGAGTTTACTGACAATTCGAGCTGGATTCGGAGCCGGAAATTCAGAATTGGCGCAAAAGTGGTTCAAATTGGAAACAATCAAACTACCGTTCGAATTACAGAAGCCGTTACTGAATCGTTTGTGGTTAAAGATCACCGCGGAGAATGTAAGCAATTTCTTCTTCTTCTTCTTCTTTCATTAGAGTCAAAGCTAATTTTCTAAACTTTACAAAAGTCCTTGACTCATTATTCTGAATTTCATATTTTATTGCTTAGATCGAACACACAAACTTTAGGGTTGGAGGTTGAGCATGTTTAGTATCCGAGCAATCTCTCTGCTAGCTAGGAGTTAGGACAAGCTCACTTAGTGACTCCGATATGATAAAATGTTCTTATAAAATTATGTGACTGTTAACAAATGACAAAAAAAAATAATAATAATTCAATTTCACAAGTTTGAGGACATTTGTGACCCTTTTCCATTAAAAAAAATGTATATGTTATAGCATGTAATTTGACTTTTTTTTTAATAGGTTACTTATGGTACTTGAAAATTAATGAGTTTGTGTCATGTTAATATGTTGCAGCGTACAAAAAACATTACCCACCAGCACTAGGAGATGAAGTGTGGCGTCTTGAGAAGATTGGAAAAGATGGAACTTTCCGCAAAAAGCTTTCTTCAAAAGGCATCAACACTGTACAAGATTTCTTGAAGTTGGCTACTATTGACACACCACAAATTAGAACTGTAAGCCTCTAGCTACTCACACAAAACAAATACTATAAATTAAATATGAATTACAAAGATCTCATAAACTGTTTGTGATTATACAGATACTGGGAACTGGAATGTCAGATAAAATGTGGGAAGTGACATACAAGCATGCAAAAACTTGTGAGATGGGCTCAAAGTTATTCATGGCCCGTGGACCAAACTACGTTTTAATCCTTACTCCGATTTGTCAACTTGTTAGGGCAGTTATTGATGGGCAAATTTACCCTACTCATGACTTACCAGGAATACAAAAGGTATGATTTTATATGCACTTTGTGAGTTTGATTCTTGAGATATTGTAAATTTTGTATTTGAACACTTTTGCTAATATCTGTACAACTGTTAATTAATAGGCCTATATCCAGAATTTGGTGAAGGAGGCTTATGGCAATTGGAGTTCTTTAGAGGAAGTTGATGGTCTAGTTAATGAGACAGCACTACTAACTCAAGGTACTTCTTCATACAAAAAAAAAACAAACTGTGGTGTTTGGGCCAGCACACGAGTTATTTCTTACTTTTTTCATCAGCATAGATATTGGGTAACTCTGTGCATCGAAATTTGAACAGATGATGAAATCACCTAATATGAATTTAAATATGAAACATCATGGTTCTCGATCCATTTCATTGATTACTAGGTCATAATTAATGTGTTTAAGCTTTCCTAATAGTATCACATATGTCCACCATGCACAAATTAAAGCACAAGTTTTTGGAATTATTAGCAAGATTATATAAAGAGGTCTTCTTTTCAAAAAACACAAGTTTTTGGAATTATTAGCAAGAGTCAACACATTAGTACAATGTGTTGGTTATTAACTACTACTAATACATAATATAATGATTTTGTCATATGAACAGGAGAACCAATGGTGGATGAGTATCCAAATGTTCATCAGCAGCAACAACCAATGATACGATCCTATCAACAAAACACAATTTTGACAGATGCATCTGAACAATTAGTCGAATACAATGACTGGATTGGTAATCCTAACTACATTTGATACACTTGCTGATAATAACGGTGGTAGTTACTTATCAGATGGATCCTCTAATAGAGAATTGTGTTAAATTTTACACTGTCAGCATATAGAAATTAACTTGAATTCTTGTAAACAGAAGACAATGAAGGAATGAAACTTATGCTTACAGGTAAATGTACATAGTGTGTAGGAACAAAATTTTGCCCAATAAAGGGCTGAAAATTGTTGTAGAAGTTGCGCCACCCCTTTGTAAAAGATGTGTGGTCTGGCAATAGTATGCAAAAGTATATTTCAATTTCTTTGTAAGATTCAAATTTGAATTGTCTATTGTAGAGAGTGATTGTTCATTTAATTGAATGAACAAATTAATGCAAATGTTTACTTTGATTATGCATTCAGTTATGTCTTGTTTATTTTATTTACAGTACCCTTCTTACAACTTCTTGAAATTTCCAAAATTGTTCTGAAGTTGGCAGGTACAAAACCTAGTATTTATACCAAATCAAGCAATTTAACATGAACAGTTAAAAATTAAATTGAAAAAGATATAGTTACCTGCATTGATGGCAAGCAACGGTAGCTAATCCTATTACCGGTGCCTGCCACCACTACAGGTTATGCAGCACCGGATGATTGTCTCCTGTTAAGTTTATCTATTCAACAATGTCAGTTATTTTGTTTTTGTAACTGCTTTTTTTTTTTTTTTTTATGCTATGTACTGCTTTACACAGGGCTCTACTTCATTGTTGTTGCTTCTTTCTTTTCTGTATTTTCTTTTTCAAACTGCTTTGAAATGCTTTACTTGAGTAGAAGGTCTATCGGAGACAACCTCTCTATCTTTATGAGGTAGGGGTAAGATCTCTATACATTCTACCCTCCCAAACCCTGCTTATCAGTGGCGTACACAGACATTTTTTTAAGTGGTATCGACATTTAAATAAGATGTAAGCGGTGTTGATATTTAAATAAGTTATCAGATTGTGCCTAACTTGAAATCAGATTTTTTAAAGACAAAGGGGTCATTTTATCAGAAACAAACCCAAACCCTGCTCAGTGCTTATGGAATTACCTTGGATATGTTGTTGTATATAATTAAGTTTTGAGCAATGAAATGAAGGCACAACAAAATGTAATCTTGCTCATTAAGATAAAAATTTTATCAAATATATTCAACAGCAATATCCTGTTACACCAGACAAACTATAATCTTATTTACTCACCCTGATAAAACTTACTCAAAATCTGTTATGACAAAGATGATCAATTGAACAAGTATCTACACAATTTAACTAAAGAATTTAAGAAATGAATTGAATTAGTATTGATAAATTTAAATTGCTGCATACGAGATATGTACAACCTCTTTAAGATAGAAAAAGGTCCAAAGTACTCAAAGGAAAGACACTAAAATTCACCTTCCGCGACCAATAGAGCAGGTGGCTGAAGAATCACTATCAAGAAAACCACAAACTAGACAAACTAAGGGCATAAACTTAGCCAATACTGGAAGCATGTGTTGTTGAACTGCTACTGCTAGTCCATTTTGAAATAACTGAATCGGGTGAGAGAGATAATGTGTGATTCTTCAACAATCCAGCATCATCACCGGGACTTGGCTTCCCTATTTCTGTTGCTGTTTTATCCATACTCTGAATTCCCAGTAGAGCTTCCAAAACCTCTGGCATGGATGGTCTCAAATCCCTGTCGTTCTGAAGACACTGGAAAGCCAACTCTGCCACGGCAGTGATCATCAACTTTACCAAGTCATTGGAGTCAAAACCAAGATTTGAATCAACCAGCTCATGTAATGCGTTGCTCTGAATCTTGTTAATTGCCATATTTGATAGATTTATTTCCTGTCGATGCCTACAGATATCAACAGCTGGCAGAGAGGATATAAGCTCGATTAATACCACCCCGAAACTATAAACATCACTTTTACTGGTGAGTTGATAGCATTCGTGATACTGGGGATCAACATATCCAGGGGTACCCTGTGGAGCTGTTGAGACATGTGTAACATCAGTAGGGAAAAGCCGAGACAATCCAAAATCAGCTACTTTGACGCAGAAATTACTGTCTAGGAGGATATTGTTAGTTTTTACATCTCGGTGAATGACCTCTGAATTATGGAGAAAGGCTAGCGCGCTTGCCGTTTCTATGGAAATGCTCATTCGTGTATTCCATGAAAGCGATCCAGGCTTTGAGAATTCCCCATGAAGATGATCAGCAACAGTACCATTGGAAATATATTCATACACAAGAAGAAGCTCACGGCCATGGCGAGATGTGCATCCGTAAAGGGTAACTAGATTTCGATGGCGCAAACGAGTGAGGATTTCAATTTCATTTCGGAATTGCTCAACCCTCTTGTAGTTGTTCTCATATAAACGCTTTACAGCAACAACACGCCCATCTCGAAGTTTACCTATAACATGTCATGTTCAATCATATGGTTAATGAATCAGATCAAATGTTTAGGTTTAGTAGCAGGTTGGCAGTGAGAGAAAGCCCACTTCAGGATAATTTCTCTTACCTTTATATACTGTGCCAAATCCACCTTCTCCTAGCTCTTTGCTGGAATCAAAACTGTTTGTGGCTTCTTCCAGTTCATTGTAGTCGAAGACATGAACTCCCAAATAGTGAGAAGATTTTTCAGGGTCCATTGTTGAGGAGGGATAGGAAAGGATACTTCTGGTTATCAAAGACGAACCAGCATGACTTTTCTTCTGTCGACGATAATAGAGAAAGAAAATTACACATGCCACAATGGCAGTGAATGCAGCTGCAGTTACACCTGAAAGAGAGAAATATGTGACTAGGAAGTTCTTGATCATTTAAAGAGAAGGATATCATATGATGAACATGGTCAAAGGAAAGTTACCTACGGCAACCTTCACTCTGATATCTCTTTTATCACCTGTAATGCAGACATAAACAAGTGATGATACAGAACCACGACAAAATATCTCCAGTAGTATTATAAAGACATAAATACAACTTCTTACTGTTTCTAATTTATAAAGGAATTATGTGGTTATTTTCTAGTCTGTTATGAAACACAGTCAAACGTGGATTTGGACTTAAAGTTTCTGAATTTACTATGAAAACGTTGTTCTGTTTAGGGTTGTATTTGTTATTCAAGCACAACATATAGTGCCCTCTGTTATTCAGGCAATCTTGACATATTAGCCTCATTCCCTTTTGCAGAAGTTCTGGTAATTCATTTTTGCATAAACAGGGTTCTTGCATAATTCTACTGCATAGTTATAGTGCACTAGAAGCTCAGTATGAATAATCACAAAACAATAATCTGTGGCATTGCTGGCGCAGTTTACAAATGGAGAAAACAAAAAAACCAGATAAGAGAAGGAAGCAAGGAAAATAACTGCTGTTAAAACAACATTTTGAAAAGCCTGAATACTGAAGTCAGGCGAATAGGTGAAAAATAATTTGTAAGTCTTATTAACATCTAAAGTCCACCTTCAACACCTACTGGGTAAGAGTCAAAAGACTCTAGATGCGGCAAAAGAATTAGAGATTTCAATCACGGATTAGACAAGAAGAACTAGAAAGGTAAAGAAATTCGGGAAGTATTCAAATCTTAGGTTGGTAGAAGTAAAATCATGGAAACAGAGTGGGAAAAAGTTGTTTTATTTTGTCATAGCATCCACATGCGCCTTAGGGACTAGCAAAGAATACCCTGACTGAGACTTGCAAATGCAAAATTCTCGTCTTCAGTACAGAAGTATTGTATTTCTCCCTTTCACAGATTTATGGTTTTCAAGAATCTTGAGATGATCACTTCGGATCATTGGTTTCTGGAAATTCTATCACATATCATAGGTGTTTTTATGTCCATTCTATCATATATCTCAGCTAATTCTTGAAAACCAATCCCTTAGGAAATTCTCATTCCTTGAAAATAGAATCCATTGCTAAACGGTTGCTAAACTAATGAACTAATCTTTCAAAAAATGCATTGTTATCTCCATTGATCACAAATTTTGATATACCTATCTTGCTGGGTGAAGCACATACAAACTTGCTGCTGCCTAGTACTACTAAATTCTTAGAACAGGCATCATCAAAAAGGGCTTGTGCTAGGCAAACTGTAAGTATATTTTATTATCTGGGCTTCATAAACATGATAAAGAATGCCCCAACAAATGTTACAAGGGATGGAATAAAATAGGAAGGTGTGAAAATAATTGGAGTTTCCACCAAAACATGGCAGCCTATAGGTTTTTTTTCTCTTCTCTGGCAGTCTTATTTGACAGTTGAAGACTCTGACCTACCAGTTAGGTTCGACTAATTTTTGGCAAAAAAGATAAGTTAGAGATGGAACACACCTTGTTCCTGTACAAAACCGCAGTAATAGGAATAAGTCCGGTCCCGACAAAGGCAAGTTGGCTCTGCAAAATCTGTTTCTGACCAACATAACCCCCCTGATCTCTCACAAGCCATGCATACTAGGCTTTTGTTGTAAACCACATCAAACCCTTGCTTCAATAGCTCCAATATTTTCGTACTTCCTTGGTCTTGGAACCGCTTAAATGCCGTTAACAACACAGGAACTATGACATTACGCTCACAACTCCCATACTGCGGTCCCCAGAATGATATAAATGACTGATCTGGATAGAAACCATGACTGGACTCTCCAGTGTTATTGCAGCTAAAGGTGAAATTTTTCCATTCAGAAGGTATATCAAAAGGACAAGCATAGAACAGGATGAGAATCCCAAAGTCAGGACCATAGCGTAATAGGGGATCATTAAAGCTAGTGTTACCGAATCTATCAGGACAAATGTCTTCCTCAAGATCATTTCGTGCAATTCTCATGGTTTGATTGTCTCCATTGATGCCAAGTACGCGAAAATTATGACCATCGATATGTATAAGGGGATCCTGATTGGCTTCACATGTAAGCTTGAATTGTGGAAGACCACATTCTTGAGGTCGATCGCCACCCCAGAAAGGGAAGCTGATATTTTGAATATTCCCACAGGTGTAGGAGCTATTACAAGTGGAATACTGTTTATCCTCTTGGCCATAGGATGGCGAGGACGTGATCAAGAAGCATAGGAAGGAGATGATGGAATGGAGCAGAGGAAGAGGGAAGTTTTGAGCATGCATTTGTGAGAACTCATCAATGATAGACTATGTTGGTTGGAGAACCTATGTATTAGAAGAGTTTGGCAAAATATATGATTCAATTGAGTTGTTCAAGTGTCAAAGTTAATCCAGTTTTGACTAACAAAAGATGACAAACTTGAGAATTGTTATAAACGAAAAAAGAAATGGCTGCTCATGCTTTATAAGACTTTTCTGTGATTATTTTACTATAGAAAATTTCACTTTTCAACTTAGACGAGTGGGACGATAATAAGTTTCATTTGTTCACAACTAGAAGGAGAAATTTCAAATGAATAAAAAAGGGATAAATATTTTACACCAATCTTATTGGTAACTTCCATTCAATAACCTTGAAAGCTGAAACTTTCCGCAGACTAAAAATTACAGGTCTAGATGAAAGAAAACAAAGTAAAAAAAGGAAAAGAGGCGGAAACTCTTGAACAAGAAAAGGACATGTGTGTTTGAGAATTCTTTCTTTGAGTGGAATATAAAATTCCAAAAATCGCATCATATTCATATGCACCTGTTGACAATTTGTATATTATTAAGGTTTTAAAATATTTTTTGGCATTTTGTGAAGTTGATAGTCAGAATATTACAGGAGTAATAAAAAGGGGTAGAGGCTATTTTAGACCATGACACTCAGAAACCTGAATTTTGTCTACAAACAAGGCTTCTTTTTATAGTATATATTATTTATTTATATATATATAAAAAGTTCTTTTGGGTCGTGCTGAAGAGAGAAACTGCGACTTGAGTTGTAGTTCGCACTGCATCACATAAGCGTAAGGTTCTAACGCAATTGTTGTCATCTTTTCTAATTTTCTTCCCTAATTTTCATGGATTTGTCCTAAAACAAATGGGCTAGCCTAGGGGTATAAAATGAGCAGTTGGCCTGAAATTGGATAGGTTAAAGTGGGTTAGCCTAGGGGTGTCAAACTAAGCCCAAAAAAAGGACCCGCTCAATCCATCTTAGATTTTTATGAATTGAGCTTAAGATAATTTAATAATGGGTAAATTGAACAACTTTTATAAAGCACACTAGTATAGATGCTAATTACTCAACGCATCCATAGTTTCAATAATAATTACGTATTTTGTCCGAGTTGTCTCTAGATATCGAATATTTTCCTCTAGATATACTATATCTAACGAATATATCTCACTTCTCTCCCTCTCTCGTTCCTCTACTTCTTTGTATTTGTGTTTCATAATTTCATGTATTTGTGTATCGAGTATTAATATCCACTGATCTATCCGAGAAGGAGCGAGAGATGATGTAATTATTCTAAAGTATAGTGAAATTTAGTAGCTATGGTAAGGATGATTGTCTAAATAGGTAGATTTCCTATATTGTAACTCATTCAATTATTCACCATTTTAAAATAGTTTTCAGCTTACCCTAGTTTAATTCTTAGGGTGTGTTTGGTATGAAAATGTTTTTCAATTTTCTCATGTTTGGTTGGGTAAAATATTTTCCTCAAATTCAAGGAAAATGACTTCCCTTCAAAAAGTAAGGAAAACATTTTCCAAAACTTTCCTCCAACTTCAATACAATTTTTTTGTTGAAAAAAATAAATTTAAAGCTTTTTTAAAAATATATTATTCAACTTTGATGTTTTATTTTTTTACCCATCTCACCCCTACCCCCACCCTACCCGCGACCCTCCCCATCCCACCCTCCCCAAATAAAATTAAGTTTATTTTTTTAAAAATATTTTCAATTTCAATTCAAGAATTATTTTCTACTCTCTAGTAAAAATAAAAGATATTTTCTCAAAAATAATTTTCATTCATAAATCAAACAGTAAAAAATCTTTCCCAGAATTATTTTTTTCTAGTCACCAACCAAACATGAGAAAATAAGTCAAAAATCTACTTGTTTTCCAGGAAAACATTTTCCTTCGTAGCAAACATACCCTTAATTTCAACCCACTTTTTTTCTGTCTTCCCTAAATCAAAATCGCAAGTTGGGCGGGACCTTTATTTTTGGGCTTAGTTTGGCATCCTTAGCCACTAGCCCAATCTTTAATGGGCCTTTCAATTCAGTATATTCGCAGTAGCCCCTTCATTTTTGGCTCTCTTTCTGGAAAATTCAATCTTGTTTCAGATTTTAGACGCAATAAACTATGCATTTTGAATTCAAAGTAAGCAAAAAATTTAAAATTATAAACTATGCATTTTGATTCTTTTGAATTCAAAGTATGCAAAAATTAGAATTAAAGTCAAATACTAACATCAGCTATACTCAAAAAAACTTGTTACCATTGGCTGATTCGCGTATTAAATAAGATAATATGATAATGACTAAACACGTACGCCAACTATGGAATCACAACATTGGACTTTTTCTAGATTAAATTAAATAGCATTAGTTGGAAAAAATAAGTGATCAAACCTTTGTATCAATCTTCTTGAACAGGAAAGACTGTGACCCTTTTATATTTTATTTATTATTTATTTTATAAGAGATTGATTGGTCCTCGGTTAATAATGCAAAGATTAATTACATTGATTATTTCATCTTCTATTTTGTACTATAAAATAAGATATAAGTTGATTCATAATTTATACATATTTTATTTATATGAGATTGTAAAATGATAACTAAACATCATATTTGACGTGCTAAATTTTGTATAAACAACTAACAAGCTACTAAATATGGTTTCAAGTTTTCACTATGCTAATTTGATACATAAATAATTCTCTTCCTAACCCATAACCAAATGACCTCTAAATTTATGGAACACGTCTTGACTTATCACCTTTAGGTTTTAAGGCAAGTTTACGAACCTTGATTCAATAACAACTTTTTTTTACTTATAATTAAAATTTTTGAGTTCAATTTCTAAGAATAAAGGGATTCGATTTTTCTTATATAAAAAATATAAGATAATTATAGCTAGATTTAAGCAAATTATGAAAATTTAGCGGCAAATACAATGTTCTATAAGAATGAGGAAAGATAAATAGCAAGAGTTTTGGGTGTACCTTTGCAATGTTTAAACTTAACGGTACCATCTTGGCAATAGCACAAAAGGTTATGGGTTGAATTGTTATAACCGCACCTCCCGTCTGAATCCTCACACTGGCCGCACTCCGCCGCGCTCCGCCAGTCCAGCACGAAACCGTCTTCCATGGCCGCACCAAATCCTCCAATCCAATCATCGTTCTGGAAGCTTCTCCTCTCCGTCACCGTCGCCACCACTTTCTCTTCACAAATCCCAAACCAGTTCAAATCGTCTGGCTCAGTTTCCCCAACGTAGAAATGCGTCCTGTTTCCATTTGATTTTAAGCATTCTGCGGGAAGAGAATCAGGTAGAGGTTCCGTACAATTGAAATAGAAGGTAAGTTCCAAAGCGGAATCGGAAAACTTCAACGGCAATTTCTCCAATGTAAGGTTGTGACGTGCTCTAGGGCATTTCTCGTTGAAAACATCAGCGTCCACTAGAGCGAGAGAATAGCTTTTATAATCTATACTTTTGACGTAGAAAGCATCGCCTGGAAGGTAAATAATCGGAAGCGGTTGATTTTTTGTGCAATTGATTCCAAATCCCGGATAACCACAGTACTGAGGAGCGCTGGCGTTGTAATTGTCAAGTCTCCAGAATGGATATGAAATTTCAACACCATTGCAGGTTGATTTAGGACAAAATGCATACTTCAAGGAAGTATCATTATTTGCACTGGATCTGACGAAGGAGAAAAACAGAGACACAAAAAAGTAGTAGTAGAAGAAGCAGATTGATTGATTTTGAAACATGATCAATTGATATCAAACAAATTGCAAAGCTGATTGGTATACATGAGATAGTAGTAGTATAAACTTTTGCAGCTTCAAATGTAATAACACTCTCAAAATTCGAACATCGCCACATAAATTAGAACGAAAGAAGTATATATTTTTGTCAACATGAAGTATGAAATGTTGAATTTTTGGAGGTTGTAAAGCTTTATAGTCTAATGGATAGGCACCAAACTATTTTGTCATTTGTTATTGAGAGTTGGATTTCTTAATACAGGTATTGACTTTAGTGGAATTACTTTTTTTAAGACCTTAGTTATATTTTATGTATTAGGGAAAACATAAAGAATGCAGGAAGAAGGTGAGATGATTTCAAAATACTGCACAAGAAAAAGATGGTCAAATTACGACGTCAACTAAAAGAGGAAAAAAATGAGAGAAGGAAATTGCAAGGCAACTTCTCTTTTTACAGTACAATACAAAGAGTTTCCTTTTATCTGTAAATTGCAATTAAGGTACAGAAAGTAATCAAAGAGGATTACAGCAGTGTAGCACTAAAAATAGAAATAGAGATTAGAGACGAGGCGACATTTGAATGTTAATTTAACTAGCGTTTTATCATACCTTTAATTGATACTTAAAAAAATGAGTGTTTGAGGTTGCTTATAAAAGTAAATTTTGAAATTTGAAGTTGTGAAAGAAAATGGTATAAAAGAAAATGTTTTCCCATGCAACATTAGGAAAGTATTTTTTGGTTTGTTTTATTTAAGTAAAAAAGATATCATGTCAAAAGTATTTTTATGTAATCTAGTAAAACACTATCGGAGAGGAGAATGGGGTGATCAAGGGTGGTGGGGAGAGGACGGGGAGAGGATGGTCAAGGGAAGGGGATTGGGGGTTTTGGTTGTTGGGGAGGCCGGGGTTCGAACACAAGAAATTTGAAATGTCACTTGTGAAATTTGTTTTTCCTAATTTCATTAGAAAAATCATTCTCATTTTTAAGAATTTTATTTTTCAAAAAAAGATGTTTCGTACATTCTCTATCCCAATTTATAGACACTTTTTCGTTTTTTCGAGAGTCAAACACTTTAATTTTGATCGAAAATTTACGCATGAAATCTTCAAATTTTTTGAAATGAAATTTATATATTTGTAAACTACGTATAAAATACCATAAGTCATAATAATTGACAATTCAAAATATTTAAAAGATATTTGAAAAATTTACCATCAAAACTAAATTTGTTTGAATCTAGAAATCTGAAAAATGTCACATAAATTGAGATGGAAAGTAACATTTTAACTGATTAAATATGAAAAAATAGACATTTTTTCTCTATTACACACACACGTAAATTGGATTTAGAACATCTCACGTTTCACGCGGCCATGTGACTATAGATATATTTTGGTATTGTTTGTCCACTATAAAGTGCCAATGACGACAAAGTACGAACAATGTGTTCCTTATGGTACAGCGTTAGACAAAATTCAATTATTAACTCAATTAATATTTATCTTAAAAATAATTCGATATTTATAAAATATAAATTGATAGAATCTAGTAACTTTAAAAAACTAAAATTTAAAATTCATAAACTTTTAAATATTAAATTTGTCTCTGTTCATTTGGTTGATTTTATTCTCAATATAAATAATATTAGTATAACTTTTTAACAAAGTATTAGTAGGATTTTATATTTTGTTTACAAAATTTTCTTTGTATATTTTTCTCCTTATAATTTTTCTTTCCTTTTTTTTCCCCTTTCTCTTGTTCTGCACTAAAACACTGCTGACCACAGTTGACTAGGCACTCGTTTTCATAATTTATACACGACGTGACGCACGCACATATGTTTCACTCTTCTTCATAAACACAAAATCCCTTTACAGGGTGTCAATATTAAATAGACTGAATTAAAATTCTAGATTTTTATTTAAGTGTATATTGTATCGAATAATTGGAATGATCTTTTAAATTTATAAAAGAAAACAGAAAAATCTCAAATCGAACCGAATAAGTATAATATATTTATATATTAACAACATGTTATATTTTATATAAATATATTTTCTAACATTTTTTGAAATATAAATATAACCTAGGTCCTAAACCTCTGGTGACGACTCTACGCCTTTGTCCTTTAATTAGTTTTTCATTAATCAAGTTTAAAAAAAAAATACTAGCAAAACTTTTGCAAACACTCCTATTAAAAGTTTAATATCAAATAATACAGTAACAAGGTTTTACATTCTTAATTTCTTGGTGAAGAATTAAAGTGATTCTTCAAGAACACACTTGCGAAAAAACTATTTTAATAATTTTGAGGTGATACTTTAAAAGTAAAAAGAAAAACCAAAAATTAATCGAACCGTACCAATAGTGGCGGAGCTAGGATTTTCAGTAAGGGGGTTCAAAATCTAAAAAAATAGACACACGAAGTAACCGAAGGGGGGTCGACATCTACTATATATACCTAAAAAATTATTTTAACCATGTATAAATCATATAATTTTCCGCCAAAGGGGGGTCGGATGACCCCCCTCATTGTAAGGTGGCTCCGCCACTGCGTACCAATATCGAAGATAAATCGATATAATTAGGATGATTTTAAAAAATCTAATTTTGATTATGTATTATAAAAAAATCCAAAAAATTGAAATGGTATAATTTTT